GGCGCCAAACCGCTGCGCCACCCAGGGATCCCTATCATTACCCTACTTGATTTCCATATGAGGTGTCAAAATGTTAAGAGAGCTGTCATGTCTTTACCGTATTTTATTATTTACACTTCCAGTCTTCAAATGGCTGGTACCTTAAAGTTAGACTGCTTACTATTATTTATATTCTTTGTGCATATTCTTTAGTATGTCTATTATCTTTAAAAATATTGGCCCTGGGGCACCTAGGTGGCTCAGTTGGTTGAGGGTTCAACTCCTGCTTTGCCTCCCAAGCCAAACCAAGTCTCTCCTAGTTTGGACATATATAATTAATAATTGCTTTTTAATTTATGGCTACACAATAAGCCCCACAAAACAAAGTGGCTTAAAACAGCAGCTGATTTATTTAATTGTGTCAATTTGGGCTTGGAGCAGCTGGGCAATTCTGCTAGCCTTGACCGGACATCACTCATTCAGCTGCAGTCAATTGGGGCAGAGTGCTCACGTGCCTGACAGGTGGTACTGACTTCTGCTAGGACTCTGTCTTTCTGCAGTATCTCATGCTCAAACAGATGAGCCCAGACTTATTTACCTAGTGAACACATCAGTAAGAGTGATACTGAAATCAGTAAGGCCTCTTGAAGCCTTGTTTAGAAGTTGTACAACATCGCTTGGTTTATTTTATGGTTAATGGGAGTCACAGGTCAGCCCAGATTCACAGGGTAGGGGAATAAATTTCACCTTTTGACAAGAGCAGTTGCAAAAAATTCATGACCATTTTTGTTCCACAATACTGATATTAAATGCAAGATTTTACTTTTATCCATGTTAGATTTCATCTTGGTAAATTCAGCTACTTTTCCAGCAATTTACTGTCTTCTGGCATCTTGAGTTTATTACTTTTTGTACTTATGATAAACTTAGCTTTTATGTTTTTAACTTAGGTATTAAAAAATGCTGAACAAAAAACTACTGAGACAACTCTTCTAGATAACCTTACAGCATCATAGTATGTATTCCTATTCAATAAGCTATGAATTCTCTAAACTGTGAAATCACTTCTTGATCCTGTCCACAAAGATATTCTGAGATAGTCTGTTAAATAACTATTAAAATAAAAATATATTAGAATTCTTCCTCCTTACCTACCAGTTATAGAGGTTAATTCCTGAGATGCAATTCGACTTGCAAAGACCCAGTATATATGATAATTGGGAACAGCCTGGCTGCCAGAGCATAATAAGCACTCAGTGGGTACATCAGTGAGGGACTGGGTGGGTCTGCAACAATGGTAACTGGATTGGCTATAGAGTGCCATCCAAAAGCACTGTTAACTATTTCAGTCAAGTATCTAACGGGCTTAATTTGGGCTCTAACAGATATCCAAACAGGTCTACCTGATGATCTATGGCATGGAAACAAGAGTTTCTGGGCTGTGGTGATATTTGGCAAATATGATGAGTTTGTACACCATTGCTTGCTTAAGTTTGACATCATGCACAGTATGGTCCATAGCACATAGCACTTACTCTATTTTTAAATTTAATTTTGAGGATTGATTCACCTGTTTTTCAACACTCAAGATAGATTTACTGAAAAACTTCACTGAAAAGTCCATGCGTCATTCTTTATTAAAAGTGAATAATAAATTCCAAAATATTACCAACCTAACCACACTATGAAGGCATCATGCATTTTTGCCTTACCAAAAAAGACATCATCTTTTTTTTAATAGGTTCACTATTAAATAGATATGGACTTAGAAACATATCTTGTTTTTTGTAAAATTTAAAGCCTAAAACATTTTTGTATTCTTGTTAGCAAACTCACTGTTAATAATAAATTGTGGTTAATTTGGAAATGGGCATTATTTATTTATCTCCAACAGGAAATTATAACATTGATAGCTAAAATAAGATTTCAAATATATTTATACTAGAGAAAATTAGGGAAAATTGATACTGGCAGGAATATAGAAAGCCAAAGTAATTATCCCCAGGCCAATTTACTGAAGGAAAGAAGATATAGGATAATTATCTACTATATAAATTAATATAAACTATTTTGAAAAGGACATCACAAATATTTCACTGTAAGTCGTAATAAATAGGGATTCTACATGAGTACCACTTTTTAAGATTTTAATTATAAAACGGATTTAAAAGATATTTGTCTATTTCTCAGAAAACTTTACCAATGCAAGTGACCAGGAAAACTTTTAAAAAGTCTTGGCAAAAAGATTGTCAAAAATCTTAGCCTGGGGCAGCCCCTGTGGCTTAGTGGTTTTGGCACCGCCTTCAGCCCAGGGGGTGATCCTGGAGATCCGGGAGCCCATGTTGGGCTCCCTGCAGGGAGCCTGCTTCTCCCTCTTCCCGTGTCTCTGCCTCTCTCTCTGTGTCTCTCATGAATAAATAAAATCTTAAAAAAAAAAAATCTTAGCCTGGGGACACTGGGGCGGCTCAGTCAGTTTAGGGTTTGACTCTTGATTTAGGCTCAGGGTTGTGGAATTGACCCTGGCCTAGGGCTTCATGCTCAGTGGGGAGTCTGCCTACTTACCCCCCAAAATCAATCAATCAATCAATCAATCAATCAATCAATCTTTAAAAAGAAAAATCTTAGCCTGGTTGATTTGTTTAAGTTTGATTGATAAGTTGATAAGTTTACATGGATATGCTTTAACAATCAGGATCAAGCATTTGTCTACCCTGTTAATCCTCATAAAATCTTTGAGATTAAGTACAAACCAAGGAATGCATTTAAAAAGGCTCTCTTACTACCAACTTGATTCACTGTGTTCGGGTCTCTCCAATATTTTACAATTATCATGAGATTTAAGAACTCCCATCAGTACTGAAATGTAAATTTACAGCCTATATAGGCTGAAGCATAGTACATGCCTAGGTTTTGTTTAAACACATTCAGTAAAAAACCCTACATTCAGCAAAAGCTGAGCATTCTTGGCTCTAGTTTTCTAGTTTTGACCTAAAAATAACTTTCAAATCAGTAAATTGAGTATACATTTTTTTCACAACCTCCACTATCCCAAACACAGTATGATACACAGGAAATAAAGTTTACCAAATTATTATGGTTCTCAAAATGATTTGGGGTCATGTCTTTCCTACATGTCTAATAAAGCAGTCCAACTAACATTTGTTTTACTTGGGAAAGTCATGGGGCAGAACTGTAAGAGTGGCAAAGTTTGCCTTTATTTCCAAAAAAGCTATGTTTTATAATTTGATATTGATAATTTTTAAAGCAGAATTCCACCAGTAATAAGGAAATCTAGAGAGAAAACCACAACCAAAAACTAAAATTGAATCTAACGCTGAACAGAAATTAACCCAATGACACTTCTTTCACTTCCCATTAAGAATCTAGTCCTCTATGGGGCACCTAGGTGGCTCAGTCAGTTAAGCATCTATCTGCCTTTGGCTCAGGCCATGATCTCAGGGTCCTGGGATGGAGCCCCATTTAGGCTCTGCATTCAGGAGGAATCTACTTCAGGTCTCCCTCTCTCCCTCTATGCCTCCCCTGCTGCTTGCTCACCCTGTCTAAAATAAATAAATCTTTTTTTAAAAAAGGAATCTAGTTCTCTCACATTCTCCTGCCTTTGACTCTTCATATTAGCCTTAAAAAAAAAGTTTTTGAGAACAATGTTGAAAAAAAGGCTACCAAGAGTATCTGCATTTTATTATGAAACAAAATATACCCAAATCTGTGAATTTCTGATACTGAAATTTTATTTATTTATTTATAAAAAGATTTTATTTATTTATTTATGAGAGACACAGAGACAGAGGCAAAGACATAGGCAGAGGGAGAACTAGGCTCCCCATGGGGATTCCTGGGATCCTGACCTGAGCAAAAGGCAGATGCTTAACCACTGAGCCATCCAGGTGCCCCCCGATACTAAAATTTTAGATATAAAATTATAGGCAAATACCAAAACAGATATATTTTGGGGATTATATTATCTCTTAAATGAAAACCAGGAATGTGATTATCATCTCTGTCTATATATAAAATTGTCCTTGTTTATTGTCAAGTGATATTTTTGGCTGGATCTGCATCAATAAAAATAAAATAATACTAAGAAAAGGAAAACAAATTGTGTACATGCCGTCAACAATATTTAATTTTAAAGCATCATCACTAACCATTTTACTAATTAGCTTGATTTCCTGCATAAATTTTAAGATAGATCCAATTCAATCATTTCCCATAAATTATTTTGCTGTATAAAAAATATTTCAAGTAACTAGAACAAAGGATATAAATAGTATGGATAGATTAATTTAGCTCCTCAGATATGTCATTATATAAAGCATTATTAGAAGATATCATTATCTTTAAAGAATTATCACTCATTCATTCAGAAATTAAGCAGTAAATTTGGATTTATTTATTGATTTTTTAAAAAAATTTTTTAAATTTATTTATGATAGTCACAGAGAGAGAGAGAGAGAGAGAGAGAGAGAGAGAGAGAGAGGCAGAGGGAGAAGCAGGCTCCATGCAGGAGCCGGACGTGGGATTCGATCCCAGGTCTCCAGGATCGCGCCCTGGGCCAAAGGCAGGCGCCAAACCACTGCGCCACCCAGGGATCCCAGCAAATTTGGATTTATCTCTGAGATTAAATAGAACATAAAAAATCTTAGTACCTGCACACTCAATTGTGCTTAAATTATGACATTCTTTATTCAATGTCACTAATATCTAAGATAGACAAGATGCTGAAAAGTTATCTCTTATTTTATTTTTAAAGATTTCATTTATTTATTTTGAGAGTGCACATGAGCAGGGGGAGGGGCAGAGGTAGAGGAAGAGAGAATCTCAAGCAGATTCCATGCTGAGCAAACATTTGCTGTATTCTATGTAACTTTGAAAAATCAGGCTTGTCAATCAATCATAATATCATAATATAATAATATCATTAGTATTAATTTTGATGACTAGTAAATAAAAGTCAAACATAAAAATTATATAAAACTTCATGTTCTTTACTTTTGTTTTACCTCATTTTAAAATTAGAACATGGGGGATCCCTGGGTGGCGCAGCGGTTTGGCGCCTGCCTTTGGCCCAGGGCGCGATCCTGGAGACCCGGATTCAAATCCCACGTCGGGCTCCCGGTGCATGGAGCCTGCTTCTCCCTCTGCCTATGTCTCTGCCTCTCTCTCTTTCTCTCTCTGTGACTATCATAAATAAATTAAAAAAAATAAAATTAGAACATGGAAGAAGGAGTAAAGCTTTATTTCCTTTGTTACAGTATCTCTAAGGTAATTTTTTTTAATATTTATTTATGATAGTCACACACAGAGAGAGAAAGAGAGAGAGAGAGAGAGAGAGAGAGAGAGAGGCAGAGACACAGGCAGAGGGAGAAGCAGGCTCCATGCAGGGAGCCCGACGCGGGATTTGATCCTGGGTCTCCAGGATCGCGCCCTGGGCCAAAGGCAGGCGCCAAACCGCTGCGCCACCCAGGGATCCCTCTCTAAGGTAATTTTATTTCAAATTTTGGATTTTAAAATAGTAACTGGTTATCACTTTACCCAGGGCTTCGTTAAGACTTTGTTAGTATGAGATGTCTAGATGTCTGTTGGATTCCAATTAGTCTATGGCAGCACTAGTAGAGTGGATGATACTATTAGCAAAGTACTTACAGAAGATAATAGAGTATTTCGCTTAAATCTCCTAACTTAACATCAGAAAGTGACTGAGATAATAGGATGAATTAAGATCAACTGACAATTTTATTGGGCTCTTTCACTTTGTCTACGAGGGATATTCAAATCCTATGTAAAATTCCCAAGAAAACTCAACACCAGTAACAAGCCTCCATGAGGGCAAGTACAATGTGTATTTTATTCATTACTGATACTTGGTAACTAGCAGAACAGGCTGTCAAAAAATAAGTATTATTTACTTGTTTGTGAAAAGATACTACACAGGGAATAAGGAGTAAAGGAATTTCATTTACATTCTCAATTCTAAAAAATGGATTGAAATTTTGATGATAACCCCTAAAAGCAGCTTTCAAGAAAAAAAAAAGCAAACTACTCCATGTGAAGACTTATAGTAAATATTTATTCAAGGGCCCTTGCAGAAGAACATTAAATAATAAAGCAGTTATCTGAATAGATTCCTCTCATTTTAAATGGAGGGAGTTTGGGAGCTTGGTGGGAAAGATGTTAAATGAAATTTCACCCTAAGTAAGAAATAAGGTAAGGTTATCCTTTCTGCTTCAGGAGAGATTTAATTAATGTGATAACAATGAATTACTGATTCTGAAAACCAGCATTGTCACCTCTTCTTTTTGATTCATAGTGGAAGGAGCAAAAATGAACCATACAAAGAAATGAAGTTGCCATGGATGTGGATTACTGATGCACCTTCTATGGGAGAAATATCAGAGTAAAAAATAAGCAGGCACATGACAAAAAATAGGAAAAACAAGTAGATAATGAGGTCAATCATTTTAATGCTTTCATTAAAAACTCTTGATTTCTGGGGCACTTGAGTGGCTCAGGTGGCAAAGCATCTGCCTTCAGCTCAGGTCATGATCCTGGGGTCCTGGGATTGAGCCCCACATTGGGCTCCTGCTCAGGAGGGAGTCTGCTTCTCCCTCTGCTCCTCCTCCTTTGCTCATGCCCTTTAACTTCTCTCTCTCTCTCTCTCTCTCTCTCTCTCTCTCTCAAATAGATGAAATCTTTAAACAACAACAAGAACAACTCTTGATTTCTAAGAATTGAAACAGGGTATGACAGTGGCATGTTGAAAAAGGATGCAGATTTGTGGGAAGATTCCTCTTCCTTTTCTTATTCTGGCTTTTCTGTTCTGTTCCTGCTCCCTAGCTTCTAGGATAACCCATATATGACCACTTGCTTAAGTTACATCTGAAAGTACACAGAAATTCTTTATTTCTTTTAGATTGAAATGGACTGTTTGTTGGTTGTATCACTGTCCTATTTAAGATATCAGTCTCACTATTTTCAGAGTGCCTTCTGTTGAAAATTAAGAGTGATAAGTCATTTCCTTCTAAGTGTTTTGAAAACCGTTCAATAATATTGTCCTTAAAGTTTGTTTCCTATGAAGAACTGATTCTTGGTTTCAAGATAAGGATATAGTAAATAGAAGTTTGAGGTTTAATCTTTTTCATGTTATTATTAGGCTGCTAGGTAGTCACTGCTAATTTCTGGCAGCTTAAAACTGTATGTTATCAGACTCAAATATTTTATATAGAGTCCTAAATTCTTTATATAAATAAGAGAAATTAATCTTTCTAAAACATCGAAATTTAGCAAAGTAATAAAATCATGAAAAAGATTTCTCTGAAAAGTTTATGACACATAGTAGTCAAAGAATATATATTATTTAACTAAAACTGCCATCAGAACAACACATAAAAGAGAAAATGTTATAAAGATCAATACCACATATATAAATAGACTTTCCTCTATTTAAAAAACTGTCTACACACACACACACACACACATATATTTTTGTATTTTATAGATAAGGAATTCAGGATGCACAGGAAGATGAGCATTTCTGACTGATTTTCATTTCTTTCTGATTTTTATATGCCACTGGTAAATGTAATTTCCATTCTTTAATATCCATTCACTTCACAGCTAATACTTTTCAAGCACCACAGAAGACTTGAAATTAAATCACATATATCTTTCTTATATGTGTTAAAGTGTTAGTATTAGGGATTAATGGGCTTTATTCTCAGTATCAGGATTATTCATTGATAGTATGTTAGTGACACAGGGGCACATTAACTCTTTTGAGCTGACAGGACATTAACAAACTGCTTCAGAGAATGAGTTATAATGATTTCAAATGTGAATTATACTTATGTTCTAATTTATTTACAGTGGGTAACTTATTCACCAACCTAAGATAGATTTTTCATATGGTTTCCTTTAGACTTACAGTATCTGCACTGTTAATAATACATACAAAATTTTATACTCTAGAAACTACCATAAATTTGGCAGTAAAGAAAATAAATAAGGCCTTATATATTTGTAATGATTCTGACTTACTAAGTATTAGAGAGCAATTTGTATGTCCAATGAGAACTATTATCTTAATTGGTAGAGCAATTCTTGTGTGTGTGAAGAAAATAGCCTCAAACCCACCTTCTGATAAAATCATAAGGTTTTTTCAAATATTCTATAAGCATGATACATGAACTATAATTTATTATTATTTTCCCTTAGATTAGTTTAGATTTGGGCACTATTTTAGTGTTTACATCCTCTGGTATGTGTTTCATTACTTTACTTTGGTGGAAATATTTTAGTAAATAACTTAGATGATATGAGAGAATAATTTTTGTAAATCTGTGCTAATAACCTATCCTCAGTATGTGCATTTTGAAACAAATTATAAAAATTCTTTCTATATGCTGCTCTCAGCTGCTTATATCTGACTTTTAAATATTCGCCCACCAGCCTGGTTCAGTTAATTCTGATATCGCTAATGATACCACCTCAGGAACTGATCTGCTGTTCGCCCAGTAGAGGAGTTACGTATTGCCTTTTGAAGAATGACACCTTAAACCACAGCCTTGACATTTGGCCTATCTTTTAATGGCTTGAGATACAGCTCTTAAGAATAATCTTTATCGTTCAGAATAATTTTGGACATTCTGACTTTTAGCACTAAACTCTACAGAAAGAGTTTAAATATATGGGAAATAGGGTTATATAATCTAAATTGCTATCATTCCAAAGACATTCTCATGGGTATTTCTATTATTCCCAGAGAAGAATCCTTAGAAGCCTTCCCTTCTTTTGCTTTTCAGTTTCTGGAAGCCAATTTTGATGAGTTTTATATCTGCCATCTGACAGTACTGTTCTCAAACTCAACTTAATATTTTTTCTCATAAGTTTATAAGTTAGGGTTACATAAAAAGAAAATGAAATTAGTTCTTAGCATTGAACTGAAGACATTCTATTGATGGCACTGTGTCGTTTCTATTTCTTAGCCAGAAAATCTTAAAATATCGACTACTTCTTTACCCTTCGCATCTCTTTAGTCACCAAATCATAGTTTTTCTCTATAGTGTTTCTGATATGAATCCCTTTCTTCTATTCTCACCGTTACCAGCACAGGTTGTCTGTTATTATACTATATTATTATCATTGCTTCTTAGCTGGTACTTTTATTTCTAAAACCAACCTGCTTCAATTAATCTGCCATAGTGCTAAGGGAGCCCAGTGTTCCTAAAATGCGACTTCTTTCAAGTAACCTTTGCTGCCTTCAAAACTGTACATTGGTTTCTTATTCCCTGTCACATGAAATCTAACTGCCTTTGCATACTTGTGAAGGCTCTCAGTAATTCAGCCTACTTCACCTATCTGATATCCCATAGGAACCTCTGTTCCTGCCAGGTTGACCTCTATACTATCTCCTCTCATATAATATACTCATACATGTACCCTTGCTTCATTTATGCTGTTTCTCTCTTCTATACTCTCTTCTTTCCTCTCTGCTTATTTGTATCCCACTCATTCTAGAGGGCAAAGTTAAATTTCCTTGAGGCCTTCCTTTTTCTCTGTGTTATCCATACTGAACAATTAATAGGTTATTCACTATATTCATTCTATCCTATAAAATGATTTTTTTAAAAGATTTTATTTATTTATTCATTAGAGACACACACAGAGAGAGGCAGAGAGACACAGGCAGAGGGTGAAGCAGGCTCGATGCAGGGAGCCCGATGTGGGACTTGATCCCGGGTCTCCAGGATCACACCCTGGGCTGAAGGCGGCGTTAAACCGCTGAGCCACCTGGGCTGCCCCATGAAATGATTTTTTAAAAAGTGGAATATATACATGGAGTATATATATACTAGCATTACAGATACAAGATGTCTTATTTTCTTCCACTCAACAATTCCACTTCCAGGAATTTGTGCCCTCTCTAACTTTTTAGCTAGAAGTAAGTATGTTCACTGCAGCAGTATTTGGAAACAACTAAATACCAATGCCCTAAGCTTCTCTTATGGGCAAGAGCCTTATAGCATACCACCAAATTTAATAGAGTGCTAAGTACATGATACAATGTTTTTTTTGTGAGTTTTTACAAAGCTTTCTCTGTATTTTGTAATAACAGTAACAGACGAAAATAAAATCCAAATTTGCTGCTTCTCCCCATATTTCCAAAATCCCGAATCTTTTCA